ATATACATATATATATATATATATATATATATATATATATATATCTTGCATCTAGATACAAGGCTGAAACTATTTTTTTTTTAAATGCATGGAATTTATTGAAAGTCCTGGCAATTCACCGCCGTGCTCAATGAATGTTGTAATCAGTTCCAAAGGTAGCCCAACAAAAGTTAGTCAAGTTTGTATTCTCGTTCTTACTGTTGGACAGTCTACCCAATAATACAGTAATGAGACTATTTTGTGACTGGTGATTCTTTACTAAAAGCATTATTTTGTCTATTTTAAAGTAAAAAAAAAAGTTTCAGGATTGCCTCAACACAACTACAACAAGGTTTTTCTTTTCATTATGAGCTAAAAGAAACTGAATATAAAGCTCACAGTAAGAACACATTCCTCTAGCTTGATGAACAGTATCCACCATGGGAAAAAGAAAAAGCTTTCCATTATTTCTCGGCTCATTATGCAGCAGACTGATGGCTTCATCAGCTTCTGACATTGATCCTTTACTCTGGTAAAAAGGGCAGAGGGAGATGTTGCCATGACAAACAGGTCAATAAGTGCCTCTAAGCTGTCTTTCTTTGACACTCCTGGATGTGTTAGATTGCCCACATTGCACTGCATCAGCTGGAAGACGCCACGCAGATTGACGGTTAAAAAAGCAGAGATTGTTCAGGAATGTTATGTGCACACACTTGAAGGAACCTATTTTAATAAGATTATTGAATACGTACACATATTGCCCCTAATATATTATTTCTCTTTTCTACTAAAAGTTGTTGTTTGGGACTCTTGAAAACTCCTAATTACTTAAAAAAAATTATATGTTTATTACATTATTCACTTAAGGACGTCGCCATTATTTTACCAACGCAATGCATTCTGGGGTGATTACGTACATTGGTTGTAGTGGAGACTAAAACGCAAGAAGTCAAGGCTAATAAGTTACGCGTGACAATAAATTTATATTTTTTATTAGTTGTTATGCACAATATATGGATCAAAACAATCAAATGTGATAAATTTTTTAAATGCTTAATTTTTTGCTATAAATCTAACGCCATACACACACACACACACACACACACACACACACATATACATATATATATATATATATATATATACATTATATATATATATATATATATATATTATATATATATATATATCTATATATATATATATATATATATATATACATAGCTTAGCTTGGGATTAAATGCTATAACTCTGGAGCTAACGTAATATATTGGCTCTGGAACTACGCTAGCTCTTTTGCTATGCTATTAGCTCTGGAGCTATGCTATTAGCTCCAGAGCTAACGTCTTATATATTAGCTCAGGATCTAACATCATATACATTAACCCGAAAGCTAAAGTCATATATTAGCTCTGGACTTAATGTCATATAAACTAGCTCCGGAGCCAACGTCATATAGCTAACATCATATAGGTCTATAACAGCTCCACAGCTAACGTCATATATATTAGTTCCAGATCCAACGTCATATAATATACTAGCTCCAGAGCCAATGCCATATATATTAACTCTGGAGCTAACATGAAAGCTGAGTTACATCTGTATTCTCGTCGTTGTCAATATGGTCTGGTTCAAACTGAATGTCTAAAATGAACATTCTAGCAAAATGGAGCTCGCACCGGAGCAACCTGTCTATATTCTTTACTCAGAATGCATTGCAGCATAAATAAAATGGCAATGTCCGTGTGTCATTAACCTGTAGAAAATTGTAAAATGTAAAGTCTACAGTATTTTTCTGGTCTCGTTTTTGAAGCTGAATTAATTGCTTAATAAATAAGTTGTGTTGTTTCAACTAGTCGGGGATCCTTAAGGCATGACTTGGATCTATTAAAAAAATGCTGTTTTGCACCTGATCAAAGTAAATGTTCCCAACAGAGCTCCACCATGCAGACGTGCCCTCGCTCCTTCACTTTGCTGCTCGATATGGACTCAGATGCTTCTCTGGCCTGCTTCTACAGTGCCCCGGTGCAGAGCGGGCTCTGCACACAGCCAGTCGCCACGGACAGACTCCCGCCGAGGTTGCCAAAAGTCACGGCCATATAGAGCTTTACGTCCTGCTGAAAGAGACACTGGTAACTGTTTCCATACTTACAATTTTTCACGCTCACTGAATACCATGGACTTACCTACCCCACTACAAAAAAGGCGGGAATCTCCCTGGTAACCAATTTCACTGGCTTCTATAGCCAAAAAGAAGCTTCTCCTGTCTCATATCTTTCCACCACGTTTGACTTTATAATGTCTGTATTGTTTCAAATATTATTTCAGCAAATATACCAACTCTTATATTTTAGGAAGTGGTGTCAAACTCAGACATAAAAGGGGAACAAAATGTAAAGCTTGCTCCAAGTCGCAGGCCAGTGTCAGTCGATACATTAACTCGGACACTGGACATCTTCTCTTGCTTACAGGTTCCTCAGCAAGAGTTTGATTCATCTCACTTGATTTTCTCTGTTGCTCTGTCCACATCAGAATTAAAGATACCTGAAAAAAAAACTTTTTTTTTTCTTCAGAAAATAGATTTAAAGTTAAAGCAAAGAAACCTGGATGTCCGGAGCAACCTCCCACCCACCTGACTGTTGTGGCTCAGTTGGATGATGGATCGTAGCCTTTCATTAGTCTCATTCTTAATAGGTCGGGTCCGTGAGCTCTCCTATAGAACTCCCCCACAGAGTCTCAGCTATGTTTGTTCAGGCATGCACAATGGCTCAAAGCGCAGGTTGTCTGCATACATTCAGACAATTATGTAGCCACTAAAGTCGACATTTATTTGCTCAGAATGTCTTTATATTATGTTAATTTGGAGAAACCCGCTCAACCTCTAATGTGACTGTAGAGATAAAAATAAATAAATAAAATACTGCCAGGGGAACGCATTAGCCACTCACCTGCTAATGAGAGGTAATCCAAATGTAATAGTTCCCATGCATGCTTGTGCATGCTCTTCCGGTGATAAACCTGAAGGACACTTGCGCTGTAATGTTCTTATAAATGATCATTTAATTAGCCAGCAAGGACAATATCTTACATGGAGGGGAGGGAATGATTCTGAAAGTAAAAACAAAGTGACAGATTGGAAACACGTCTTTTTAAATGTGATGCAGACATTAATCTGCACAAACATTTCAGTTTATTATAATTCTCTGGGACAAGTTAAAAGGAAACTAATGCATAATAACTAAAGTTTCAATAGTTCAATGGTAAGACTTTTTTTCTCATGAGTCTATAGTGTCGATTTTTAATCATGGAAGGTTTACTAATTGTTTTTTGTTAACTTGCTTGTTTTTGATCTCATGCAATCCACAACATTTTTTGAAGAAAAATAATAATATTGAAGAACTTAGGGCCACTATGCTTATGTGTGTGCAAACCAATGGTAAAGATAACAAAAAAATTACTTCAGGTACCCTCTAAATTGGACTTGTTACAAACCATCCATCATCTTGACCTGCTTCTTCCTTTCTGGGTCCGTGGCGCCCATGTCCGGCAGTCAATGTGCGAGAGACGAGGACAACCTAGACAAGTCGCAAATCCATCACGGCGACACATAGAGACAAACAACCATTCACGTTCTCACATAGGGACAAGTTAATAGAGGAAGGGCAGCCGACTTGGGACCAGACTCCCAGTCATTCCCACATATCGTGGTATCTCTGAGCAAGACACCTAATCCCTAATTGTTCCCCACTTACGAAGCTGCCCACTGCTCCACCTGTTCTCATGTGTGATGGGTAAATGCAGAGATCTAATTTTGCCATTGTATGGGAACATACAATGATGACAACCTCAGACTTCCCTTCCCCTTCCCTTAAAGTTACCAGTCAGCCTAACATGCATGTTTTTGTTCTGTGGGAGGAAATTGGAGTATCCATAATTGTTTATTACAGGAGGAGGGATAAATGATTCTGAAATACATGCTATTCCTAATATTTACTATCCTACACCCATTTTTAAGTCTTGGGCAGTGTTTCTTCACATTAGTTTCTTATTATCATATTTTAGCGTTTTCAGACAGCTTTATAAATTGCCCAACCGCTGCCCTTATTTCTAAAAAAAAATTTTAAAAATATTTAGAATCAACCTATAAAAGCTCTTATTCGTCAATCTCTAGTTCAGCAATCTGTGTATGCAGTGTTTCCCCTACCATTATACAAGCACAGCTCGCCCGCACTGTCATCTACCGAACTCCACCCCCCCGCGGTAGTCAACTGCCGGTGTCATGCCAAAAATCGATTGGGGGCCACGGGAGCGCGCTCGGGAGTATCGATATTTAGCGAGTTGCCAAAAACACCTAAAAACTATTATCTGTTTGCTCGAGATTATACTAAACGTGTGTCTGAGTTTACCAAATGCACTTTAGTGTTCAAAAAAGATTAATTTCAGCCTCCCCGTCAAACATCGGTTATGGCGTGTTATTTTACTGAATTTATCAAGAATAACGCTGAAAAAAATTATTTGTTTACTCGAGATTACAGTAAAGGTGTCCCTCAGTTAAGTCAGGCACTGACGTAACGCTAAGCTAACAGTGTGCAATAAAGATGGGTTAGCTAAAAAGCTAGAGGGATAGCGTTCCATTTCCCTCATGCTGAGACGTCTCCAACCCCCAAACAGTGCGCAGCACAGACATGTCTCCGTCCGCCCCCCACCCCACATTGATTAAAAAAAAATAAAAAATCAAGGAAGAGATGAGCGCCCTGCTAAGATAAGTAACCCAGGGGAAACAATGGTAACGTTTGAATAACTTGTGAGCCATAGCTAAGTTTGGCAAACTGATCTTAACCCGTGTAAAAACAAATGGTTAAAGTAAAGTAAAGTAAAGTAAAGTAAAGTAAAGTAAAGTGCTGTATGTTCCCATACATTGGTGAAATTACTTTGTAGTTCTCTGCAATTACCCATCACACATGAGATACGCCCAGGCGGAGCAGTGGGCAGCTATGTAAACATCCGGGGAGCAATTAGGGATTAGGTGTCTTGCTCAAGGACACCACGACATGTGGGCATGGCGGGAGTCGAACCGTGACTTTCAGCTGCCCTACCTCTAGCCCTAAACCGTGTCCATTTTACGCATATTCAGAAAAAAATGACGCTTTAGTAGGTGAGATTAATCCCCAACACATATTCTGAGCACCAGATTGTGCAAGACCTCGCAATGATGCTTGAGATTGAGTTCCTTTCTAGACTGACCAATAATCCTTTAAGATGCAGCCGCCAAGTCCCCCTCGCATTCCCTCAGTTGGTAACAGATGTTATTCACTCTTTCAAATGAAAATCTCCACTTCTCCTTTTCTTATCAGTAACTTGTAACTCCCTCCGATTCCTCAGGTCAACATATGGAGAATTTGGCCTTCACGGAAATTCAGACACCCTAACAGCTGTTGCAATGTACTTATCGTCCCGGCAACACTGCTAACTGAAAGTGACTGCAGAGTGAGCGTGATTTGATCAGACCGCTGTAGCGAGCGCTTGCTGTAAGCTTGGAATGAGCTGACAGGGGAGCAGTAAAGTCAAACAGAGGTCTCCCTGCTGGGACCTCCACAAGCCTAAAGCTGTAAAACAAGAAATTGGGCATGCAGATAGACCTGACATCCCTGTGCCGCACCTTCTATGGTAAAGAGCATTCCTTGAAGAAATGCATGTTTCCCGCTGCTTATAATGGGGCGGCTGTGGCTGAGAGGTTAGAGCAGTCGTCCTCCAGTGGGAAAGTTGGGGGTTCGATTCCACCAGCAGTCACATGTTCAAGAGAGGAATTCAGTGTCCTGGGCAAGACACTGACTCCTCATTGCCTCTGATGTGTGCCCCATCGGTGTATGAATGTGATCTAAAGCACTAATCTAAAGATTAGTCTTTACAGAGTCAGATTAGCTTTGTAGAGACCTAGTAGAGTATGAATAGGTAAATGAGGGCACAGATTGTAGTGTAAAGCGCTTTGAGTATCATGATTAGATAGAAAGGCGCTATATAAGCACGGTTCATTTACCACATAATATCAGGGTTTTAAAATAAGATAATCTCATGTTGTAAAATGACATAAGTTATAAACATTTTGGTTGAATATCCTGATTCATGCTCATTAATAATTTTGAACCACTTTGGCCATGACTGCCTCAAACGAGTTGGCAGGGGGAGAGGGCGGACTACAGAAACCATGTGAGCACCATCAAACTGGTTGACCCACCATGAGAAGGTGCTATTTATAAGACTAAGTTTGTTGCGGCTCCTCGGACTGATGAAGTCTTTTGGATGAAAGACGAAATGTTTCAACAAAAAGGACCTGACTTAACTTTGTTAGATTTGGGTCAAATGTTGTAAATGAGCTCCTGGGATGTTATCAGACCTCAGGAGATGTGGTAACACTAAGACAACGCGTGGTGAATGACTCTTAGTACCACGCCAAACATTAGCTCAATATCAGTAAAATGGACTAGGTTATAACCACTTTTCCATTGGCTAGGGTCAGACTTTGGGGACCATTTTGAACTGGGTTGACTCCAGACATTATTGAGTTGTAGACGTATGTCCAATGGTAACTTACTGAGAGTTTCCCTAAAATCTGTCCAAAAGCTCATGAAATATGTTGCCGACCAATTCAGCTGACTAAGTAGTTAATGACGTGTGGAGTGTGCGTTGGGAATCACTCTCAGCTACTACCACACCAGATTTTAGCTCAATATCTGTAGATCTGGCAGAGTTAAAGTCATCTATGTGTTGGATAAGTTTGATTATCTGTGGCAGCCCATTTTGAATCAGATACAGATCCATTGATTACTTTCTGGGAGTTTCATTAAAACCCGTGCAGTGGTTCACGAGATATTTTGCTAACAAGACAAATGAACAGAACTTTGGACGTATACGACGTCAGCGCTTCTAAGTACGTTGTGGAAAATTCCAGCGTCATGACTGAGAGGTGAGTTCATGCACTTTCGTTAACTAATCGGCAGAATTCTAAACCCCCCCCCCACACCCCCAAGCTCCAATTAATCAGCTCTTGATGCGTCAGTGATTTGGGCGCTGGTGGAGCAGCACTCTGTCAATAAATCCAAGATGGATCAGTCCCCTGCCTCATACACCGGCT